AAAATACCAGTAATACGTTTTATATATCAATTTTAAGGAATATTATGATGTTTTATTTATTTATTTATTTATTTTATTTTATTTTTTTTTTATACAGTCATAACATACGGTATGTTTATTTTAATTTTGTGAATACATCCATTTAAAGTTATCTGACCTGTGTTACGAGGATGCATTTCTATAAGAAGGGATTCCACTGATATTACTTTATTACAAAAAAAGTTTTCATTCATGAAGTAGTTGTAAAATAGAGAAATTAGAAATAGAATGTTTGGAAGATTCTAGATCATTCCAGTATATTCGAGAAGAATCTAGATGATTCGAGAAACATCTAGAGATATGCAAATTAGGTGTTAGCCCCTATAAAAATGGGATTTTGGAAAAAGGGTTGTCAGTTGATGAAAAAGAATTTCTGTTGTTATCAACTCCGGCTTTTGATTCAAGGACTATTATATCCAGCCGAAAGAATCTCTATAAAAAGTTGCCGACCAACAAAAACCCAAAAGAGAATTTCATGGAACAAATTTGGTAAATAGAATTTTGACTAATTTTCATTGACCAAACTAAAAATTAATATTTATTTACACACCTTTGTGGATTTCCAAATATAGCACTTAGATTACTTCACTAGCCCTAAAGTGATAAAGATATTAGATTCCCTTTCCTTCTCCCTCGTAACACTCCACCAGTAACTCTGTGTTTTCTGTTTTTGTAGGTCACAATTGTTTATCTTGTATATATTCCATGCTGTGTTTTAGTAAATTAAATATTTGTTTGTGATTTTTTTCCTTTGTTACAATTATCAACGCGTAACACCTGTAATAATTTTAAGAATCAGACCAAACGAAAAAAATGTGATAATAGGGCTGAGTTTAAGTCCCCGCTGTCTAAGTACAAATAAAATCAAAACGGCAAATATTTAGAGCAAGACATCAAACGATACTTAGGGAAAAAAAAGGGTTAAATTTAGGAAGGTTAGATTACCTCCTCGTTTATCCATTGAAACTGATATCCACCAGGAAAGAAAGAAAAGAAGCCAGTCCCCAACGTGGACCATTTAAAATATAGTCCGCGAAGCGGATTGGTTGTTACAAACATCCAATCGGGTGTGCGGAAAACGTGGTCTTTCTTCGTCTAATTCATTAAAAAGGCCAGAGTAGCTGTTAGTGTTTGATTGCGAGGGGGAATCAGGGATTGATCTCTCCTGATTGAGTCGATTTGGCGATGGGGAGTAGGATGTTGAAAGACCCGAAATTCCCTGATGAACCAAGTCAATTTATATATTTGATGACCTCCTCCGGTGCCTATTTAAGAGCGTATTTTTGAATGAATTATATAAATATGACATAAACTAATTTTATAACAAAAATACCAGAAAAAAAAACTTTTCTTATAAAAAAAAAACATTTCATTTTATAAAGAAAATAGCAGCAATACATTTTCATATAAAAATACCAACAACTCATTTTTATTGTAAAAATAACGGCAACAGATTTTTATAAAATAATAGCAGCAATTCATTTTATATTAAAAATACAGGCAATATATTTCATATAAAAATACCAGAAATTCATTTTATAATAAAAATACCAGCAATACATTTCAGAGAAAATACCAGCACATCAATTTATAGCAAAAATACCAGCAATACATTATCATAGAAAAATACCAACAATTCATTTTATAATATTTTTATTATAAAATGAATTGTTGGTATTACCAGCAACATATTTTTATATAAAAATACGAGCAATTCATTTTAATAGTAAAAATACCAGTTATATATTTTCGTATAAAAATACAAATTATTTATTTTCATAGTAAATCTACCAGCAATACATTTTTTATAAAAATACCAGCAATTCATTTTATAGTAAAATACCAGCAATACACTTAATATAAAAATACCAGCAATAGTTTCATTTATATGATAAAGACCATCCATGGGTACCTTTTGTCCGACAGGTACCCATGTATTCAATTTGAACCATAAAACTGTGTTTAAAATGTCTTTTGTCCACCTGGTCAAGGTAAAAATACTATCCATGGATACCTTTTGTCCGTTAGTTTCAATTTTGCTTCCTTTTCGGAAGCAAGCAATATATCTCACATCGCATTTGAGCGTTTTGCTAAAATCTTCGGGGCTATCTTTAAACACTTCAGTGCCTCTTCAACGGTGCTTAAATCTTTTAGATTTCGGCATTAAATAACCCACAGAGGTGTCGATATGCCGCTAAACAAAGTCACCCAGCCAATAGCATCACAACCAGTTAGTGGACTTGGCAAGCTTGTTTTTCAGAAAAAAAAACTGTTTTTAGAAATATATTTTATAAATTCAAACCGACATTAATGATTACCGTTCGGTCAATGAATGTCGACTTTTTCCTTATAAGGAAACTGTTAATCGCGCCATTACGATTATATTTGTACGATTAAGGACTTTCTTTGGCTCTGCCGTCTTTATTCTTTTCTTTTACTCCTAATTTTCCATCTCTTTCTTTCGATGTAAGATTAGCTTTGCCCTCTTTTTCTTGATACATCTGACCCCTCCATCTCCGTACGGTCATTTCTTTTTTATCATAATTTTTTTTTTTTTACCCCCTCCAGCATATATTCTGCACCTTCTCCGAACCTGACACTTCCATCTTCCAAAACTGTCAGGGATATTTTCGCTGCAATTGTAAAAAAAAAAAAAAAAAAAAAAAAAAAAAAAAAAAAAAAAAAAAAAAAAAAAAAAGAAAAAAAAAGAGAGACTGAGCGGGAGAATAAAAAAGCAGGAGGGTATCTGGTTAGGGTGGGGGTGTAGACAATTGACGGTGGTTAACAGTTGTGTATTTTGGGAGGGTTCACGCCAATCTCAGCACAGACAAAATGTCTTTTGTCTTTCACTACCACCATTTATTTTCCATTTTCTGTCTGTCTGTCTGTCTGTCTGTCTCTATCTTTCTCCGTTTTTCTTTCTTTCTTTCGCTTTCATTTTCTTTATTTCTTTTTCTCTCTTTCTCTTTATGTTCTTTCTTTTTCTTTCTCTTGCTTTTTCTTTGTGTCTTTCTTTCTTTCTTTCTTTCTTTCCTTTCTCTTACTTTTTTCTTTCCTTTTGCTTTCTTTCTGCCTTCCTTTCTTTCTCTTTCATTTTATTTCTTCCTTTCTTTCTCATTATTTTCTTTGTTTTTCTTTGTCTCTCCTTTCACCTTCTTTCTTTTCTTTCTATTTCTTTTGTTTTTTCACTCTTTCTATCTCTCTTTCTTTCTTTCTTTTTTCTTTCCTTTCACTTTCTTTCTTTTGTTTCGCTTTCATTTTATTTATCTATTTTTCTCTCTTTCTCTTTCTTTCTTTTTCGTTGTCTCACCTTTTCTTTCTCTTCCTTTTGCTTGTTTGTTTTTCTATCTTTCCTTGCACTGTCTTTTTTTCTTTTCTTTCACTTCCTTTCTTTCTTTTCTTGCGTTTTTATTTTATTTATTTCTTTTTCACTCTTTCTCTTTTTTCTTTCTTTTTCTTTGTCTTTCCTTTCACCTTCTTTCTTTTTTTCCCTGTCATTTTATTTCTTTCTTTTTCTTTCTTTCCTTTTCGTTGTCTTTCCTTTCACCTTCTTTCTTTTCTTCTCTTTCATTTCATTTCTTTTTCTCTCTTTCTTTTTCTTTCTTTTCTTTGTCTTTCCTTTGACCTTCTTTTTTTTTCCCTTTCATTTTATTTCTTTCTTTTTCTTTCTTTCCTTTTCGTTGTCTTTCCTTTCAACTTCTTTCTTTTCTTCTCTTTCATTTCATTTCTTTCTTTTTCTCTCTTTCTTTTTCTTTCTTTTTCTTTGTCTTTCCTTTCACCTTCTTTCTTTTTCTCTCTTTCCTTTTCGTTGTCTTTTCTTTCACCTTCTTTCTTTTCTTCTCTTTCATTTCATTTCTTTTTCTCTCTTTCTTTTTCTTTCTTTTTCTTTGTCTTTCCTTTCACCTTCTTTCTTTTTTTCTCTTTCATTTTATTTCTTTCTTTTTCTCTCTTTCTTTTTCTTTTTCTTTCCTTTCACCTTATTTCCTTTCTCTTTCTTTTGTTTGTTCGTTTCTTTCTTTCTATCTTTTCTTTCCCTTTCTTTTTTTCCTGTAACTTTCTTTCTTTCACTTTATTTTCTTTCGTTCTTTTTCTCTCTTTCACTTTCTTTTCTTTCTTTTTTGTCTTTCCTTTCACCTTTCTTTTCTTTCTCTTTCTTTTGTTCTTTTCTTTCTTTCTTTCTTTCTTTGTTTCTTTCTTTCTTTCTATCTTTCTTTTTTCATTCCTTTCGGTCTCTTTCTTTCTTTCCTTTCTCTTTCTTTCCTTTCATTTTGTTTCTTTCTTAATTTCTTTCTTTTCTTTCGCTTCCATTTTATTTATTTCTTTTTTTCGGTTTCTCTTTCTTTTTCTTTGTCTTTCACCATCTTTTCTTTCTCTTTTGTCTGTTTGTTACTTTCTTTCTACCTTTCCTTTTTCTTTCTTCTTCTTTCCTTTCACTTTCTTTCTTTTTTTTTTCTTTCTTTCTTTCTTTCTTTCTTTCTTTCTTTCTTTCTTTCTTTGTATCTGTCTGTCTGTCTCTACTTCTCTAGCGTCACGCTCATACCCTAGCTACCAAACCTCGCGAATAGTCTCTAACCAGGTGTTTCCACGCAATCAGCAATATAACGCTTCCGGACGGAGCTATCAATCTCGTTGTCTTTTTCCCCGTTTCTAAACTTTCTGCCTTCTGTCTGTTATCTTCCCCCTTGTGTCGATTGAAGCGAAATAAATGTGTCTGATTGATGAAGGAGGGAGTCTGGGCCCAAGTGCAGAGGATGCGGGTCAAGCAAAGGGAGGAATGAAAGTAATAAAGTAAAAGAGCGTGAATGAAATAATAAGATGAGGAAAAGAAAAAAAAAAGATGATGCAAATCTACAGAGAGGAGAAAAATGAATGAAATCGTTTGGTCGCTTCCATTTTTTTTTCTCAAGAAGGGTAGGATGAAAATGAAAGAAAGAAAACACGGGATGGACATAAAGAACGAATCAGATATGTGAAGAAACAAAAAGAAGAAGAAGAAGAAGAAGAAGAAGAAGAAGAAGAAGAAGAACGAAGAAGAAAATTGCAAACAACAACAAAAAAAAATTAGGCGAAGATAAAGAAGAAGAAGAAGAAAAGAAGAACAACAAAACGAAAGAAATGAAGAACAAAAAAAAAATGAACGAAGGGCGAACGAAGAAGAAGAAGAAGGACAACAACAACAATAACAACAAAATCAACGTAAGAAGAAGAAGAGCAACAACAACAACAAAATTAACATAAGGGCGAAGAAGAAGAAGAAGAGGAAGAAGAGGAAGAAGAGCAGCAACAACAACAACGAAAAAACGTAACAGAAGGGAAGAAGAAGAAGAAACTGACAACAACAAAAAGAAGAAGAAGAAGAAGAAAAAGAAGAACAAGAAGAACAACAAAACAACAACAAGGGCGAAGAAGAAGACGAAGAAGAAGAAGAAGAAGAAGAAGAAGAAAAACAGCAACAACAACAAAATTAACATTGGGCGAAGATGAAGAAGAAGAACAACAAGAAGAACAAGAACAGCAACAGCATCAACAACAACAACGGCAACAATAACAAAATCAACGTAGGACGAAGAAGAAGAAGAAGAAGAAGAAGAAGAAGAGCAACAACAACAAAATTGACATAGGGCGAAGAAGAAGAAGAAGAAGAAGAAGAAAAAGAAGAAGAAAAAGAAGAAGAACAGCAACAACAACAACAAAATTAACATAGGGCGAAGAACAACAAGAAGAACAAGAACAGCAACACCATCAACAAAAACAACAATAACAAAATCAACGTAGGACGAAGACGAAGAAGAAGAAGAAGAAGAAGAAGAAGAAGACCTGCAACAACAACAAAATTAACATAGGGCGAAGATGAAGAAAAAAGAAGAAGAAGAAGAAGAAGAAAAACAAAAACAAAAAGAAAAGAAAAACAGCAACAACAAAAAAATTGAAAACAAAAAAAAGAAACAAAGAAAAAAAGAAGAAGATGAAGAAGAAAGAAAGAAAGAAAGAAAGAAAGAAAGAAAGAACAAACAAAAAACAAAACAAAGAAAACAAGAAAAAAAGAAAGAAAAAAGAAGGAAGGAAGGAAAGAAGAAGAAGAAGAAAAGAAAGAAAGAAAGAAGAAAGAAAGAAAGAACAAACAAAAACAGAAAGAAAAAAAGAACAAGGAAAAATTGAAACATAGGGCGAAAGAAAGAAAGAAAGAAAGAAGAAGAAAAAAAAAGAACAAAAAAAAAAAAAGAAAAAGAACAAAAAGAAAGAAAAAAAAGAAGGAAAAATTGAAAGTAAGAAGGAAAGAAGGGCGAAGAAGAAGAAAGAAGAAAGAAGAAAAGAAAGAAAAAAAAAAAACAAACAAAGAAAAAACAAGAAAAAAGAAAAAAAAAGAAGGAACGAAGAAGAAGAAAGACAGTGGAAGAAAGAAAGAAAGAAAGAAAGAAAGAAGAAGAAAAAAAAAAAACAAAACAAAAAAAAGAAAGAAAACAAAAAGAAAAAATGACAAGGAAAAACAATCCAAAAGAAAGAAAAGAAAGAAAGAAAGAAAGAAAGAAAGAAAAAAAAAAAAAAAAACAAAGAAAAAAAGAAAGAAAACAGAAAGAAAAAAAAGAAGGAAGGAAATAAGAAAAAAGAAGAAAGAAGATCCAGAAAGAAAGAAAGAAAGAAAGAAAGAAAGAAAGAACAAAAAAACAAAAAAAAAACAAAGAAAAAAACAAGGAAGGAAATAATGAAAGTAAGAAGGAAAAATCAGAAAGAAAGAAAGAAAGAAAGAAAGAAAGAAACAAAAAAAAAAAAAGAAAGAAAAACAAAAAAAAAAAAAGGAAGGAAAGAATGAAAGTAAGAAGGAAAGTGGATCCGTAGAAAGAAAGAAAGAAAGAAAGAAAGAAAGAAAGAACAACAAAAACAAACAAAAAAAAAAGCGTCGGGTGAAGAAATAATGAAAGTAAGAAGAAAGTTCTTTGTACCGGTGAAAGAAAGAAAGAAAAAAGAAAATGTAAGAAACTCCGCCTAGAAAATACTCTATCCCAACAAAAAGCCAGATCAGAAAAAAAATTGAAATTCCTGTTATATCTGGAAAAAAGAGAACAAACAAAAACAAACAAACAAAAAAAGAAAAGCTCTCATTTGCCTGAAAGGACAAAAAACAAACAAAGAAAAAGAAAGAAAACAGGAAAAAAGAAGGAATGAAATCATTAAGAAGGAAAAGACAGTGGATCCGTAGAAAGAAAGAAAGAAAGAAAGAAAAATTTTCTGAAAAAAGATAAATCCAAACAAAGAAAAAGAAAGAAAACAGAAAGAAAAAAAGAAGGAAAAAAAACAAACCGTAGAAAGAAAGAAAGAAAGAAAGAAAGAAAAAAGAAAGAAAAACAAAAAAAACAAACCTAAGAAGGAAAGACAGTGGAAAAAAAAGAAAGGAAAGAAATTCTTCATTACCTTCGTAGAAAGAAAGAAAGAAAGAAAGAAAAAGAAAGAAAAAAAATTCCA